GCCGGTGCTAGCTTGACAGGGTCACTTGTAAATGCCTAGCTGACTCGAGCCGCACACAGAATGAGAATTGCCTGTGTTTGTCTGCACCAATTTTGCCGTAACCAGCCAGGAGAGGTATCAGCACATGCTCCTGGCCAACAAGTACACTTGCACTGGCGCCTGTGTCCGGGACATGCTTGATGAAATGGTCAATCAGGGTCTCTGTAATGTTCGCGGCCTGGAAATGCTAGAGGGCCGCACCTCTTACCATCACAACCTCGCTTAGCGACTGTGAACCATGGCTTGTTGAAGAACACATGTTGCCCTGCCAATCCTAACGCGCGGCGTCTTCTAGACCTTCACCCACACAAAATGTACACTGTACAGTAAGCCCTGGGAAATTTTGGGAAGTGGATTCTGCTGAATCCACCAGCGAAACTACACGCATAGGACACCCACTCAGCAGCGCCCTGCTACTTCACAGAAGCACAATGCCTCGTCACTTGGGGTTCAATCGACAGTCTGGAAATCCACAAGAAGGGAACATCGCTTTTCTGAAGTACCAATCCCCTAGCCCTGATCATATCATATCATATCCTATCATGCATGCGGATTCCACTTTGAAACCTTTTGAGCATGTTTGGCTCAGAGCCTTCTCGGCAACCTTTTAGCTCCTGATACAGAAGTTTGAAGCAACAGATGGAATCATCCTCTGCAGTAGCTCCATGGAGGGCGTTTGACACGCACCCACACCACAAGCATTTTCGGTCGGGCTGCAGGTGTGCCGTGCTCGAAAACGCTGTGGCTTGGGCTTGAGCCTACCTTCCTAAGCTGTCCAAACTCTCCCCCAGGGGTGCGGTGAGCCTCAGATGCAGGAGTCTTCGTACTCTCTCGTCTGAAGCCGCACCATGGCCCGATTTTTGTTGCCAGAACTGTGGCACAGGATCAGCTTGCAGCTTACGATGCTTACATGACCCCTCCCTCAAACTCGGTACATGGCCGGGCCTTTGTGCACGACGCGAAGCGGATGGCCCCCTTCTGACGCAGTAGAGAGCAAAGCGTCCTGAGCGGGTGCAAGCGCTGCACAGGCTTCTGTCCCATCTGTGAAACAAGGCGGCGCCTAAGGGCCTAATCTGCTGCTTCAGCCTTCT